CCATCAATCTGAGCGCGATATGCCAGTTCTAACTCATTAAAAGTGCAGGAAACATCAGACACTGCAAATTAAAGTGATGATCTGATCTTCTAAATTTTAGCAACTGCAACTATCCAGGTTGGCGTACTACTTTAAGCTAGATTTCGCCTGCTCATTACCTTATGAAAAGGTAAATCAGAACTATGAATAGATGAGCTACGCCATTCAAATCTTGTTTTGAATTGAGAAACGACCTTCAATTATTGTAAATTGTATGTAGACCAATGGCAACACCCAAATAGAAAACAAACAATCATGATGATATTGCAACAAATTATTCGAGTCTCTACAAGTTGGTGCTACTGCTTCTAAAAGCCAGTGGACCCATATTGTAAACTCTGATTTACAGTTTCCTAAAAAAAAGATTGGAAAAGGAGCAGTTTCATCGAAAATAAACGACCTTTAATGGTTAATGGTAGACACTACAATAATAATAGCTTACGTTTGACTTCTATTGTCACAGTGGAGCGGGCCATATATCTTAGTCTGTTACGAGCTTCACAGGAATATTTACCACTGTCCTCTTCCACAACCTTTGCAATAACCAGGTAACTTGTTTTCTTATTCAATTGTGTATCAATGTCTGCCCTTTCTTTTATTGGGTCTCCATCTTTTTTCCAAGTGATATTTACTGTTGCTTCGTTGACGCTGCAAGCTAATGTGAGCTCATCATCTGTGGCAAGTATTAATTGTGAATTTGGTGTTATTTGAGCAGTGGGTTTTTCTGTGTTGAGAAAGAGAAAACTTAGAATTTAGTCTAAAACAGCTTCACTGATAATATCTTTAGTAATGTAATTATCATGGACCCAGAAGAATCCAAAAGCAACCCTCTGAACGAAAATTGTAGGGTAAATGGCTCTTCAAAAGAGTTTTTGTTAAAAGGTACAATGGCATTACCTGGCCAAAATGAGTAAGGGTGACCATTAAAAAAACTTTGCAAAGCCATCACATTGAGGAGTCACCCCAAACTATTGGTGAATTGCACATGCGCGCACAACGAGTATCTTTCCAAGAATTCATCATTTAATAAAAGGATACCGCGAGAGATTCCTCGCTCATGAATCAAGCAACGGAAATTAATTACTACCACTTACCAATTGTTCATTTTTCTTAACAGTTCAATAATACTTCTGTGTGGAGAGTTAGGCACCATGCAAGTGAAGACTTTCATCCGCGAGGATATTACAAAAATGATCTTGCTCAGCTAACCAGCAGTACAGATGTGTAATATCGATATGCAGTTCGAAATTTTAAAGTTAATGTTGAAAAAAGAAAGAGATTTCAAGAGGAAAACCCTCCGACTAGATGAGGGGATTTCCTTACCCAGAAGGCAGCACAGAAGATCCTGGCCAGCGTTTAACCCCACAGGAATTAGCCCTCGGTCCATACGGCCGCAGGTTACACAACTGAATGATTTAAAATTTTAAAGCTGAAAACTTACCTTGAACAGAAATATAGATATTTTCAGTGGAAATTCCCCCACTATTATTTGCTTTACAGGTGTATAGACCTGCGTCTTCCTTTGTTATCTTATTAAAGGAGAGAGACGTGTTGTGTCCTTGAGATAAGTTATTCTTAAGCCAGGTTATCTGTGGCTTAGGCCGACCTTGAATGATTTTACAAATCAAAGTCACAATGTCTCCTTCTCTGATTAGATTGCTTGCTCCTGAAACACTCACCTCTGGTCGAACTTTGAAAAAACAAGTAAAAAAGTTAAAATACGTTGGCCTAGTTATACACACACAATATAAATATCCCACAAGGCAATTACCTTTTGGGTTACTATAATCAATCTACAAATTAGACAATGGATTTTGATCTGACAAAATTTTGAATAACCAGATGGAAGTCCTTTTCTAACGGCTAAAAACAATAAATGATTGGAACACATAAAGTGACCTCACAGAAATGTCTATCGGCAAAAAATTAAAGACCATACAAAAATACTAAAGATTGTTTTAACCTCAATAAATGAAATCAAAAACCCATCTTACCAGCATTGTTTGATGGGCAGCTGTTCAAGTATAATTTTGGGCCGTTTTTACACCTTCAACTACAATATAAACTAACCATGGAAAACAACCTAATTTTTCATATATGTTATATTTTTTTAAAGAGCAATCTTTGAGAAAGGACCAGTACATAATCAGTTAGCAAAGCAAGAAAGGATGTTTTGGCGAGGTCTACCGCTGGAATTATGATCAAGTTGATAAGGGTACCTAGAATAAGATGTACAAAAGAGAAGACTGAAACAGATATGAAAACAGATTCCAAAATGCATAATTTATTAATACCTTTGCAGAATTGCAGTTTGTTTGAGAAGCTTTCTTCACATTTAGTCAAAGTGGTGGTGCAGTTGAAATTAGTAGATGTCTCTGATACATTGCCACTGTTTTTATACCATCTGCCATAATCATCGCTGTTAGAGTATCCCATTACCATGCACGTCAAATCTACTTCAACGTTATTCCAGGTACTGGTGCAAAGCTTTTTCCAACTGCTATCTGAATAGATTTCCATTGTACCAACTGATAGGTTCCTTTCCGTTTTAAAACGCAGAGGAAATACTGACGAAAGAAATAATATAAAAGTATATGCATATCTTGAAAGGCCCTCGTCAAGAATCCACAAATTTCAATTATTTTGCTGATGATTCCCCCAAATAGATACTTAGTTTCATATGGATACTAATTCTAGGTGTTTTAGAAACTTAATCATCAGCCCAAAGTTACAAGGTATCTTTTAGGATAAGTAAAAAAAACATTTAATATCGCTCGCATCAGACATTCCATACTATTTTATCAAGAAACTAAATATTTCAGTTGTGACTGAGAAGAAATTTAGCGCTAAATGCTTATGGATGACAACAGTGGACACTGTAATGAGAATAATAACAACATAAATGATGATACTAAAGTAACAAAAATTTGCAATAATAATGATAGGGATTGGATGATAATAATAACGATAACGATGATGATCTTAATGATAATAATGAGTGTGAGAATGATAAGGATAATAGTAATGAAAATAACTTCATTCAAGCTGCGATGTAATGCTAATGCTAATTTTGGACAAGGTCAATTTATTAAGATGTAGATTTAACGGCAAAGGCTTTTGACAGGACTTAGTCTTTTTAATATAGGGTTCAACTATGATTAGACTTCGGACCATCCATGATATCTGCAATTAAATTAATGTTACCCAATTTAATTAAAATTCACACGCACTGATTTTACCATCTGTATGTTACCTTCATGGCAGCGGGAAATTTTGTTACACTCCCTCACAAGTGCTCTGCTCCCATTACAATGTTCCCCGCCATATGCTGGTTTTGGATTGGAACATTCTCTAAACCTTATCTGTATGCCACTGACTGTTTTAGTGCAAATACTCCAGGTACTCCACCCATTCCAACCACCATTGACTAAACATGTATCAAGAACAAGCAGTTAGGAAAGAACTTTAAACTTTACCTTTGGAAGAAGCCACTGTGATCAGGTTGTTTTTTAGAAATTTTGAAATTTTCATTCAAATTGAAGGCAGGAAAAAATATGAAAAAACTTGAAACAAACTTTATTAGAGATATGCCTCGTCAACTTTTATATCTGGTTGGGTTTAAACCCTTTTTTTTATTGTAATAAGAGTTTTGGTAATTTTTAGTGTCTCATTTCCTATTTGTAAAGCTCAAAACTTTCCACTGAATGGTAACACCGATCAAACACTGTTACTTGGACAAACACCCGTGTTGCAAGATTGGAACATGAGAGAACTTTCCTGGCACTGCCTTCCACCCAACTGTGGGGGAGGACTGGTACAACTGCGCACTCGTCTCTGTAATCCACCCCCACAAGTTACATTGCAGCTCTCCCATGCTCCCCAGGATGACAAGCCACCATTAACTACGATCGTATCAGAGGTTAACATGATCAACAAGTTAAATATGTTATAAAATGAAGAACTGCCTACGGATATTGCAAATTGCATTCACATATATTGCTAATTCATTCAACATTTTGACCGTTTCAAATAAGAATAAGGTATGAAAGAAACTTTACAAAACCTAAATACCAGCATATGGTAGAAACCTTACAGCCACTAAACATTGATATCTACATTGATATTGCAAATTGCATGTGTATATAATGCTGATTCATTCAACCTTTTGAGCAAAGCAAATAAAGATAAGGCATGAACAGAACTTTACCAAATCTAAATAGCAGCTTATGGTAAAAAACCTTGCAACTACTAAACATTGATATCTAAAAAACTATGTAATTAACTTAAAGGTGCATGGAGCACCTGGAACCGGCAAAATTAATACTCAAAATGATAAAAGATTGTTGGTTTAACACTGATTACACACTCTTACCTGGACAATGATTGGTGTTGCAAGATTGATTCATGCGACTAGGACCATGACACGGCTCTCCACCCCCAATCGGGGGAGGATCTGTACAATTGCGCATTCGGCTCTTCGATCCACCACCACAAGTTAGGCTGCACCTCTCCCATGGCCCCCAGGATGACCAGCTACCATTATCTATATTTTATATCAGAAATTTAAATGATTGACAAGTTAAAGTGACTCTAAATAGAAGAAGTGCCTGCCACTATCGCAAATTGAATGCAAAAAAGCATTGCCCATTCATTCAAGTTTTTGATATCGTATCGAAGAGGTAGCAGAATACTTGATAGAAAACTGAATAAAAGTGAGGAGATTCAATGTAAAAACAACCTTTTGAAAGTAAAATGAATTCACCATCCTCAGGATGCTCATTAAATATCATGTAAACAATTGATGTAAATCATCAAAAAAGCCAGGCTGATATTTTGAATCGATTCCATTCTTGTCAGATAGCATTAATGTAAAAGGAAATCAGGTTATTTTTGTATTCTTAAAGTAGTCACTTTCGTGCACCAAAGAATATAAGAGGATTTAAATGATAATAATAAATATAATGTGATATCATGTAAAGAAAACTCCTTTTTCTTATATCAGTGATGATATTAATTTGAAATCACTGGCGATCCATGCCTTCTGATTGGCTCTCATGGGTGTGCTGAACTTTATAGGATTGATCAGTTATGGGGATGTTATTAGAACTGTATCGATACTCCATATAACGGTAGTTACTGCACCATAACCTCATAACCTCAGTTATCGGAGGGATTAATTTTATTCATATTCGTCCTAAAGAAACATCAGAATCCTAGATAGAATTCTCAATTAAAGTAGGAAGATTTAATTTAAAAAATAAAAATCATCTTTTGAAAGTAAAATAAAATCAGGTTATTTTTGTATTATTAAAGTAGTCACTTCCGCTCACCAAAGAATATAAGAGGACTTAAATGATAATAATAGATATAATGTGATATATTGTTAAGAAAACTCCTTTTTCTTATATCAATAATGATATTAATTTGAAATCACTGGCGATCCATGCCTTCTGATTGGCTCTCATGGGTGTGCTGAACTTTATAGGATTGCTCAGTTATGGGGATGTTATTAGAACTGTATCGATACTCCATATAACGGTAGTTACTGCACCATAACCTCATGAAAAGGAACAAGGCAAGTTCTTATTAACCATTATGTAAAGTATGAAGACACTTACGAGCTGATTTGTTCCACAAAATCCGCATGAAAAGTAAAAGGATAGTATTAATTGTGAAAAGAGAGTAGTTATCTGAGGGATTAATTTTATTCATTCTCCAATTTAAGAGTTATCAGAATCCCTGATAGAATACTCAATTAAAGGTCCATTTCCAACTTTGATGCAACGCACGCCTCGACCCAATATCCTGTAACATGAAATTCCCAGATCACTGAAAACCTTCTAAAATCGTCTTTCTCAAGAGCCATCCTGGACATATAGTCAACTGTTTTGTGGTAAATACATTCGCCGTTCGTCATTTTACAGTTTCCTTTCAGTATTTTGAATTTTGTCCAATAGGATCCGAAGAAAAATATTTCTAAGTGTCACGCTTGGATCTCTTCGTACTCTTTGAACAGAGTCGGCGAAAAAGATAACGTTCGAATTTTTTCACTTTGTAAAAGCGCTTTAGGATTGTAAATGAAGATAAAATATTTTTCAATAGAAATTGGTATTTTTCCAAGAGAAATATGGAAAAATATCAGACTGCCGGACGTTTAGTTATTCGAAGACCGTGTCCGGTAGTGTCCGGTGAAAATGTTCTTAGTGTTACGCTTGGATCTCTTCGTACTCTGTGTACAAGGTCAGCGAAACGGACAACGTTGGAATTTTTTCACTTTCTAGAAGCGCTAGAGGATTGTTAATGAAGATAGAATATTTTCCAACGAAAGATTGGTACATTTCAAAGAGAAATATGGAGTTATTTGAGGATCGTGTCCAGCCGTGTCATTGAAAAGTTTTTAAGTGTCAAGCGTTTGGATGGCTGTATACAGGGTTAGCGAAAAACATCAAGTTCGAAATTTTAGGCTGCCTGGAATCGCTTGAGGATTGTAAATAAAGGTAGAACATTTTCGTATAAAAATATCTTTGGGATTTCGAAGAGAAATATGGAAAATATCGGACTACCGGACGTTTAATTATTTTAAGTTCAGTCACTTCATTGCAGGAACGTCAGCGACACTGGCAGTTTGCGTTACAATTCTTATTTGCCACTTTGCATGGAAAACAACCTCGATCACTCTTCCGAGCACAGAGCGCCTCTCCACGGGCAGGAAACTTCAACTGACCCTTGGTCCTATTTAACAAGGATGGCAAACTTCACTAAAAAAAATTGATATATGAATGAAAATGGGGTGGATCAACATTTTCGCTTTCCTCGGAATGCTCGCAAAGATTTTCGTGTACCTCTTTAGCAAAAACCGATCCAAAAGCGTTTACTGCCTCGGAATCTACTAAATCAATGGATTCATCTGATTCCATACCGGATTAAAACGTATAGAACTGTTTTAAACACAATTATTTTGACAAGCTCTTCAAACTCATCGAAGAAAACGCAGTAGGTATTTTGAGACAACGTGACAAAGTTAAAATAACTGACCAATCAGAGGCGCTATTTAAACAAAAGGGGTGGTTCAAAACAAAAACAAACGACCGCATTGCATCAAGGTTGGAAATGGGCCTTTAAAGTAAGGAGATTTAGCTAAAAAAAAGGCAATAACTTTTTGAAAGTAAAATGAAATCAGGTTATTTTTGTATTATTAAAGTAGTCACTTTCGCGCACCAAAGAATATAAAGAGGACTTAAATGATAATATAATGTGATAAATTATAAAGAAAACTCCTTTTTCTTAAATCAATAATGATATTAATTTGTAATTATTTGTGACCCATGCCTTCTCATTGGCTCTCATGGGCGTGATGAACTTTATAGGATTAATAAATTGTGAGGATGTTATTAGAACTGTATCGATACTTCGTATAACGGTAGTTACTGCAGCATATCCTAATGAAAGGGAACAAACCAAGTTCTCGTTAGCCATCATGTAAAGTATGAAGATACTTACGATCTGATTCGTTCCAAAAAATCCACATGAAAAGTAAAAAAGGATAGTATTAATTGTGAAGAGAAAGTAGTTATCTGAGGGATTAATTTTATTCATTCTCATATTAAAGAGTTATCAGAATCCTTGATAACGTTCTCAATCAAAGTAAGGAGATTCAATTAAAAAGAACAACAACCTTTTAAAGGTAAAATGAATTTACCATTCTCCAGAATGCTTATCAAATATCATGTCAACAATTAATATAAATCATCAAAATACGTGGGCTGATATTTTGAACCGGTACCATTCTGGTCATAGTGGAGCTCGCATAGCGTAGCCCCGTAATTATACAAAATAGTAGTAACGCATCAAGCCGAAAAAATTTGGATGTACGACATTACGACCGTACAAGGTGCCACTTTTAACATGCGTGGTCAACTGTACCGCGGGCACACCAACGCCACGGCTTTGTACAGTAGTCCAGTGGTTAGTGCACTGGGCTCCGAGTCGGACGACCCGGGTTCTAGTCCTGACCGGGGCAAGGCGTTGTGCCCTTGAGACGTGCGGGGAAAAAAAAATGCGAGCTCCGCTATTAGGCTTGACTGAATCTATATGTTATGGCATTAATATGAAAGGAAATCCGGTTATTTTTGTATTTTTTAAGTAGTTGCTTTTGCGCACCAAAGAATATCTAGAGGACTTAAATGATAATAATAAACTTAATGTGAAGAAAAGCTCATTTTTCTTATATCAATAAGGATATTATCTTGAAATCCCTGATGATCCGTCCGTTTTGATCGGCTGTCATGGGCGTAATATCTTTATAGGATTGATTAATTATGAGGATGTCATTAGACTTTATCGATACTGCATATAACGGTAGTTATTTCACCATATCCTCATGAAAAGGAACAAGCCTACTTCTCTTTAACCATTATGTAAAGCATGAAGA